GATAAAATATCCAGCATGGATAGACTAGAGAGTAGCTATTTCAGCTTAAGGGATTTGAAAATCAGGGCCAAGACTTAGAAGATGAAAATTAAAGGAAAAATCAAACACTTTGTTTGGAAGTGTATTTCTGAGACACTGTCTGTTTGTACTAAGCTGAATAGTAGAGGCCTTGATATTGATCTAATCTGCCCGGTCTGTGGTGAGGAAGCAGAGACAATCACTTATGTCTTTTGGCAGTGCAGGAAAGCTCAGAGGGTATGGGAGATTGCTCCTATTAGCTGGGACTGTCTTACTATGCCTGAAGCTTCTTTTTCAGATTGGTGGTGGACTATGTGCTCTCTCAGTTCAAAAGCTATTGATGAAAGTAGGATCCAGTTTACAACCTACTTGCTCTGGTGGTTGTGGAAGTCCCGCAACCTGTGGGTGTTCCAGAAGGAGAGGATCTCTAAGCTTTGTCTGGTTAGACAAGCTGTCAGGGAATGGCAGGAGTTTTCTTCTACTTAGTCTTTGTTTGTTGTCTTAGTTTGGTTATAGATGATCTAGGTCTATTAGACAGTTTATCATCTGTGTAGTATCGTTCTGTTGTTTCTAGTGTAGGATCTCAGCCTAGTGTTGCCTATACTGGCTATTGGCTTGTAGACCTCGCCTGAGAGGTCTCCCATTCCATGCGGTTTTATTATGTTTTGTATTCGAACTCTGTATTTTCTTTCAGTTTTATGAGATGCCTATCGTTTTGGAAAAAAAAAAGAATAATTGACAAAATGTAATTAGATATAATACATATTTTTAAAAAAAAAATGCGTCGAAAAATACATCGAAAAGAAATGAGGTAAATTTTATGTGATATAAGTATAAAAAATATTAATTAGTAGATAGTTTAATCTATGTATCGGTATATAATTTTTGACAGTTTAGAAAATACAGTTTAGAAAATACATCTATGTATCTATATATTTTCTAAACCGTGTTAGACACAGCAGTGACAGAAAATAAAGAAATTTTATGAAAATTATTTATGTTATTTTCTAAATAACAATTTTTTTTATTCAAGGTAAAAAGTAAAAATAAAGAAATAAATAAATAAGAATTTTAACCATTCACCGGCTAATAGTGACAGAGGGATGTGTTGGTAGATTTGTATGATAGTAACAACAACAATAGCAACGTGTGACGAAATATAGGGTATGTTGGTAAGCATCATAAATTACCTTATAAGTACTTGTAAATTATTTTCCTAGTTTATAAATATTTTTTATATTCATTACCTGTTTGTTTGATCACAAATTCTGGTGTGGGTCGATCTAACCGTTAGATTTATATTATTTTATAAACTATGACATTCTGTAATGAAAATATGCACCCTAATAATTAGGTCGATCTAACATAAAATCGATCATTGTTTGGTAGGGTAAGCTCTTTTAAAAAGCTCAAACTTTGCTTATAGCTTAAATACAAATACACGTTGATTGTTTTATTTTAATTGACTTATCAACTAATTTTACCAAATATTATTATAATCTTGTATGACAATTGACTGATTTGATTAGTGGATTGCATTAGCGTTTTGTAAATAGATGTTAGGCAAATCACAGTTTTATAATACACTTATGAAATTTTCATATTGGCATATGATTCTACAAATTATTTCTTCTCAAAGCACTCATGTATTGATTTTTTTTTTTTTTTTTAATTGCCTTTTTTTGGCAAAAACGCTAACCAAATAAGTCAATTAGCAAATTCGACAGATCAAACTTGTGAGATTTAATCTGTTGGAATGTCACTTGTGAGTTGTCCCACATTGATTTAATAGGGTAAATAGGCCTAACTTATAAGCCTAGTGGGCTACTCCTCCTACTACCAATTGGTTTTGTGATGAAACCTCACTTGGGCTTCATTTGGGCTAACCCTTTTATGGTGCGCTTCGCCTGTGTGGGACCGCACTCGTATTGCCCCCGTTTGACATGGTATCAGAGCGGGCCTAATTAGGGACCTGCT